ATTTTCCTTTTTCTGTTTTGAATGGCAGTTCCCGGCCATGAACATAATTAAGTTTCCTTTATCTGTTTTGAATGGCAGTTCCCGGCCATGAACATATTAGTTTTCCGACCTTTTTCTGGTTTGAATGGCAGTTCCCGGCCATTAACATATTAATTTTCCTTTTTCTGTTTTCATAGCAGTTCCCGGCCATGAGCATATTAACGTTCCTTTTTCTGTTTTGAATGGCAGTTCCCGGTTTGACTTTTATTTTTATCGCCATAACTACCCTGCGCGCAGAGACCCTTCGACCTTCCTAAATAAGTCGACTTATCTAGGAAGATCGAAAGGCCTCTGCTCGCAGGGTATTTCATAACATCCTCTCTTGCTTCATAATAACAATGTTTTGTTTTGTTTTGAAAATAATTGAAAATAAAGAAAAAAATGAATCTGTTTCCAGTTCAATGAAAAACAAAATAATTTTACCATTTACTTTTACTTTCACCTTTATTTTCAATACAAAAATAACTAAAGTTCAATCTAAAATTAACAAATTTATTTCCTTTTTGCGAATGGCAATTGTTGGCCGCTATATACCTCTATATTTCGACATCTATTAAAAAAATAGATTCCATATTGCCGTGGGTCTTTTCAGTAATAGATCCCAGATGACGTCAAAATGTGGTAAAAACACTGAAAGGAGTGGCACACGAGCTGCAGGCGAGTATGTCACTAATGTTTTTACCAGTGGCACCCAACGACCGTTTTCTGGGAAATATCCTTTCGGAGCCCTCTAGAATGCCTAAAATTTTCTAGCCTGTTCCAGGCTGCGAAATAGTCGGGTCCGCTGAATTGAGAAAAGGCAAACACGAAAATAAAACGGGAGGAAACTGGGGAGAACAGGAGCGGCGGAGCCCTTCCCCCACTATCTGAGAGCGTGGAAAAGGCTAAAAATTTTCGAGAGCCCAAGAACAGCTAAAAATTTCGAAAATGTTTCGAGGTGACTGTTTCATTTGGGCTCAAAGTTTCGGGATTTGCGTGGTTTGTTCACCTAAGAATTTCGGATCTTTGTAGTAATCTCTAAGAATCTGATTTCGGCACCTAGAAATTTCGCAGCTTTTGTAAACTAAGAGTAGCAAAATTTCTGAAACCCGGCTGACAGTCTCAGCTGGACAACTGTCAAAAATAATCCCATTATCGAAAATTTCACACAACTGATTTCAGACCTAAGGGACTTGTCAGAAATTAGCAGGGGGGAGGGGGGTGGAAACAGAGGGAGGGTCACAACTTTTTGAGACTGCTGAGAAGGGAGGGGTCATGAAAAATGGGCCGTTAAGAGGGGGAGGGTCATGCAAATATGTGTCCACGATCATGTAGAGGTTCACCCACAGAGAAAAAAGAAGTTCTTTATTTGGTAAAAAAACCTGGGAGAAATAGGAGAGTCGAGTGATCAGCTGTCAGAATCAGAATCGGACTCTTAACGCTATCATCTAAAATGTATGTATATGGCATTACAAAGAACAGGTTAGAAATATATTTTGAGCTTTCATAATACTGACTCACCCTAGTGTATTGCAAGAACTAGATTTTATCATTTATACAAGAGGGGGAGGGTCATGATATTTTAGGCCAAGGTCAAGGGGACGGGAAGCAAATTTCACTCCCATTGCAGGGATGGGTCACCTCATTTCCGAACCCAAATTTAAGATTCCCACCCCCCTCCCCCCTGCTAATTTCTGACAAGTCCCTAACGACCCTTTTCTGAGAGTAACAGGCTGACCGGTTACGCGTACGCTAGAGCTATGAGCGCGCGCATCGGACAATGATCATGCTGATTGAACAGGTGGTGACTCATGACTGTGAGGACTGACCGACTGTGTGAATATAGCGCCTGTCAGCTGGGCTGTCACAGTACTGTCAGTCCTGTGTATCGGTCGATGGACACTGGACAGTATCGCAGCAGGACTACGGATGGAGGGATAACCTAGGCAACGGGCGTACGCTGAGTACCCTGTGTACTTATCACAGATGTTAGACTTAGCACTGTCACTGTCATTGTATCTGCTGTATTTATTGTTAGACTTACCACTGTCACTGTCATTGTATCTGCTGTTTTTATTGTATCGCTGTTAAGCATCGCATGTATCTGATCTATCATCAGTATCATGGGTTTCTAATTTTAATAAAGCCACATTTCTGACATTTGCAACTACAGTCAACTGTGCAGAAAATAGGCAACTTCCTGAACTTTCAGCGTTTCAGTGAAGTTTAGCCTGCGAAAACAGACGTTTTTTTCTTTTCTCGCTCATCGCCACCTCGCGGGGCGAGAAGCGAGGACAAACGACTGTTGGTTGTTTGGTGACCATAATGTGCAGGGTGATACAGGGCCGTTATCTGCGTTATATACAGGCTTTCTGGGGCTGGATTGGGGCTCATATATTCAGCTTACAGCTGTCGCGTCACGGTCCAGCCAATTATCGACAACAACAAAAAATCACTCGGATGTCAAAATCCAGCTCACCGGAGTAATCAGCTTGTTAACAGCAGTTACCCTCATCAGGGAAAATTTTGTCTAATGAAGGCAGCATTGTCGAACCGTCGGAGTTTTATTTGTAATTATCAGCGTTAAACTTACCACCTTCCCACTTTTAACAAACACAAACGCTACGCAGGAACCTCTCCCCCCTTTAATTTTATCGTAAATTGTCAATCGAGTCTGTTCCTTTTTGCAATGAGGTTATCGGAATGAGGTAAGAGTGGATTTCCATCCATGGGTGGTCAAGAGTCGTTTACACAGCTAGTTCGTGTGCCACGTCTTTGTTTTTACCACATGTTGACGTCCTCCGTGATCTATTACTGAACAGACCCACGGCAACATGGAATCTATTTGCTTTATACAATGATCAGAAAAGAAAAAAGCCCGATACACATACCTGCCTACCCTGCGAGCAGAAACTACATTTTCGCCGTATGAGCTGGCGTGCGAACAGTAGCCTAGGCTACTTTTCGCACGCTAGCTCATACCGCGAAAATGTAGCCTCTGCTCGCAGGGTAATACCTGCCTCGTACCGCTTGACTGTGCGAAGATGTGTGCTAGTTTAGGCATTTTTTAAGTCCCAAACGCTGTATTTCGTCTCTGCTTCTTCTTTTTTTCTTTTTCTTACTTGTATACAGTTTCTTCGAAAAGTTTTTCAACGCCTTTTTTGCTAAAAGCAGAATAATGGCGAAAACATTTGTAAAACAGCGCGTCTCTCTCCTAGCTATGACACACGATGGCAACTGTTGTGAAGATTTCTTGTAGTTTAGGGATTCTTAGGTTGTAAAGAGCTCTTTTTCTCTCCGTTTCTCCATATTTCTTCTCTGTAAATAGCTCTTGCTAAATGTTTTTCGAGGCTTTCACTTGCTTTAATCCGAAATAATCTCAAAAACATTTTCAAAACCTTGCGCCATGTTGAACAAAACAAAGAAAATACGTTTGCCCTGACGTCATCCCTGTATCTGTACTCCAATAGGTCATAGGCAACGACCAATCACAGCGCGCGTAGCATTCAATGAATGATTTTCCAGCAATCTGATACCCATGTTTTGCGCACAGGATTCTGGGATCGCCAGGGGGCAAACATTGCCAGTCGCTACAAAGAAATGTATGGCGTGGAGTTGTTTCTGCGTTAAAAGCAGTGTCGTTGGACATAAAATGCCGTATTTTGCCGTGATTTTATGAGAAACGGAGGTGAATAATGTTGGTGCGTTGAAAGTTCAAGTTTCTGTGTGATTAATGCGATAAATTCTATCGATAAACACTCCTTGCGTGAGGTTGAGTGTGAAATTTATGTTCACTGAATTTACACAGACATGAAGAATTCGAAGAAAAGGTCTCGAAATATATAGTGCAAATTTAGGTATACATGTAGGGGGATTGGCTCATTTAGGCGTTTAAGCCATAATTACGTGTGGTGATATTTACGACGAGTGTAACTAGATCTAACTACGCTCGGCCGCGATCAGCGCTGTGCGGCGCTTTGCGGGTTATGACAACACAACGTTCGTAGGTATGTACGTGGCCATAAAAATAAAAAATCCTCCTTTACTTTCGTATAAACAAAGTGACATCTACAAAATATTTCACGGAAAGTACATGGTATTGAACCATTAGTAGATGAGGCAGAAATCGTACAAATGAGTAAGATTTCCGACATAAAAGCGGCGAGTGTGAAAATAAATACCAAGTTGATGTGCGAAATTCAGAGATTCTATATCTTTCCTCGAAATGATTGGGAAACGCATTAGAATTCATCGGTTCTCAGGATCATGACAAAACATTTCGCTTGTGTTTTTTTGGCGAGAAGAAATCAATATACTAATGTGCGGAAGATGTTTTTGTTTTTAAATTTAATACATATCAAATTCGACAATACATAAGCTTACCTTCGATCGTTGTCACAAACCGGCACAGCATTGTGATCGCCGCCGAGCGGAGCGTAATTACACTCGTTGTAAATATGAGCACATGTAAGTACAACTGGAAAGGCTTAAATGAGTCCGCATTCCCCGCTCATTTATACCTAAGTTAGTACTTTATATTTCGAGACCATTCAGTAAATTCACAGTCGACTTTTGCAAGGATCAGTGTTTATCGATAGATTTCATCGCATTGATCCCACAAAAACTTACAATTTCTTCGCACCAACATTAGTCACCTCCGCTTCTCATAAAATCACGGCAAAATGTTGCATTCTCTGTCCAAAGACACTGCTTTTACCGGAGAAACAGCTCCACGCCATACATTTCTTTGTAGCGACTCGCAATGTTTGCCCCCTGGCGATCCCAGAATCCTGTGCACAAAACATGGGTATCCGATTACTTAGAAACCGGAACTGTGCAATCCATTCACGTTCCCAGTACTTCGATCCTTTTGGTCAGCGGCGGGGGGGATCCCGGGGGCGGGGGGGGGGCGGGGTAGGTACTTCCGGGATCCCCGCCGCTGACCAAAAGGATCGAAGCTCTGGGAACGAGAATGGATTGCACAGTTCCGGTTTCTAAGGAAGGAATCTTCTTTTTCCGTGAGTTTCGCTTTTTGTTATCACGCGTTTGCTAAACTTGTATCAATAATGAAAGGAAGGTTTTATTTCAGTGTAAGATCGCTTTAAGGAAAGTGTCGATGACTGATACGTGTGTTACTTCTTTACTTCTGAGAGGTGCACAAACACAACGTCTAAGCGCACGTCTCTTATGACTGGCGGACAGCAATGGCCATGGTACCTAAGGAATTCCTGATGTTTATTACAGTCTACTCAGTGGTCGTTACTGGTTCAGAACTCTTAGGTCATCAATCAACATGTCATTTTCAAATAGTTTATTGCTCCTGCAAAGAAATGTTCGGTGTAGATTTGATCGTGACTGTGGAAAAGTGTGTTTACGACTTGAAAGAAGGAGATGAAAAATCTGTTTGTAGCAGAGAGACGGTCATGGAGAAATGTAGTAAAGGTAAGCTTTCTAAATTTTTGTTTGTTGAAGTTGGAATTTATTTTCCTGTAATTTGCCGTTTATACGGACACCGAGGAGGCCATAGAATGAGTCCGTAATTATAGGTGAGCAGGGCAACCAAAAAGCCCAGGGATCAATTTTTGGTCACACTCATTTTAATGATTTCATGAAGGATCTCTCTAATGCCATAGATGATTGTACCTTATTTATATATGTTGAGTCAATGACAATCAAAATATTGACCAGGATGAACATTATTGTGGATGATTTTATTAATTTAATTGAATGAAAAGAAATCATTCAAAATATCAAGCAATAAACTTTTGGAAGGACAAAGAGAAATCCTATTGTTGACCTGTGAAGGTTCTGTCATTTCCATCAAATGAAGAAAATGTTGCCTTTAAGGTGGGGATAGAATGGGGGATTCCAGAAAATATCCGTACCATACCATGGACAGCTTCCATAGTTTAACCACCCCTTCCCGTCAGAATTTCCAAAATGTGTTATCCCCTGATGCCTCCGGATTTCCAGTTCAAAGACCCCCCCCCACCCCCTGGCCTCGGAATTCCAAAAAGCCGTCCATGGTTTGGTATGGATATTTTCTGGAATCGCCCAATATATCATGCTTTCCCTCTACCACCCTCCAGTTATTGTTTAGAGTTGTTGTATCATTGCGGTAGAAAAAGTTCAAACAAAATAGAAAAATCCAATCCACGAGCCCTTTGTTTTGCAACACAATCAACCACATCTTTATAGAAATGAACCAGTGATATCTCCACTTAATCAAAGAATTGTTAAAAATGGCCATGACAGGTGTATAGTGGTGTGATAAAAAGGGACTGTCCGGGGAATCACTTGCTAGATGGGTATAAAATGCATTTTCACTCTCACAACCTGATGAAAATGAATATAGGATTGTACTATACTTAATTATTAGTATAAGAAGAGGTACCTACAGTATGTGGGATATGTCATTTATTCCTTAATTAATCGATTGATGTTTTCCCATATCTTCCTTTTCAGGTACTTTCTCTTTACGAAGGCAGAGACGTGCGGGCTCTTTAAATCTCAGTTGTAATAATGGAACAATACTACCTCCTGTTTCGTTGCCTACCAAAAGAGGCCCTCCCAAAGTTAACATGATCAGTGGTAATTCACGAAATGTTATGAGAGATGAGTACGTTAAATTCCACTGCAAAGTGTTTTCTAATCTTGCAGCTAATGTAACTTGGCTACTAAATGGTTTACCATTAACTGGACAGATGAACTTTAGCGACCAGTATTCATTTTTGGAATGCAGAACTGTTTTACAAATTGAAAAGGTGTTAAGCAGAGATTCTGGGAACTATACCTGTCTTGTTAAAAATGAGATGGGACAAGCAATGGCATCTTCTTATTTGACTGTGAAAGGTAAGTAAAATTCAAGCATCAATGTTATTTTCTTGTTTCTAATTCTGTGTGCACTGAAGCTTACCACTAAAGTCTGTATGTGTAGCAAATATATTAATGTATAAAAGAGCAAACTAGTATTTTACTCAACAATAAAATTACCAAATATTTTGTTTTGATTTCCATAGCAAAATATGAAGGCCCATACATACTGGACTTTGGACTAGAGGGAAAGACAGGAATGCAGGGTGTAGCAGTTACTGGGACGTCTTTAAATTTAACCTGCAGAACTCAAAACACTGCTGTTCAAAATTCATTTTTCAAGGATGGTTTTCTAAAGAGAGAGGATAGAATACGGGTCACATGGTATCAAATGGGAGATGTTGGACAGAACATCAAGGTTGCCAAACTTGAGATAAAAAATGTCACATTAGCAGACTCTGGAAATTACACTTGCAAGTCAATCCTCCATGGTATTGCAAAAGATAAAACATTTTCTCTTAGAATCGGTATGTATTTCTTTCAGGGATCTTTTACAATTTTTATACCTCTTGATTTAAGTCATGTAAGTAATTGTTAAACAAATTAATTCTGTTCTTATTTTCTTCAGAAAAAACAACAATAAATTTAGTGTCACTCACATTAAATTAACAATCTGTTGGCAGTTGAGCTGAGCACATCAATATGTATATAGTTAAATCTTAAATTATACCTAAATGGTACGTGAAATATTTTTGTTGGTGCTGGCATTTTTTTAGAAATGCTTTTTTGTTTTTTTTTTTCTAATCTTGAAACCATCTAGCCAAAACACTTACTAGTAGTTAACATTGTTCATGTACAGACTAGAGGTGCACAAGTGGTAAATATTAATGTACCTGCCATCCTCTGTCTCTCCTCTATACTCCAACCACACCTGATATTGTTTCTTAAATTTTTAACCTTAAATATATGAATATGAATCAAGCCATGAATGTTTGCATAATAATCTGACAATTCCTCAGTTAAATCATGTACCTGTACGGCCTTTTTCTTGAGAAAGCCCTGCCTTATAATTAGGCTTTGGAACTGTAGCTTTGAAAAATTTCTTTGTTGAGTTTTCGTAAGTTGGTGCAAAGCCCATGCTGCTTTTGTAGTTTTCTCAGACACTGTTTACAAATATGTTGTGATGTGTCATGCATATTAAATTGAGGAAATAATTTCATGAAATTTTCCGTGGCCTAATGTTTCAAATTTTTAAAACATGTTTTGATTTGTTTTGGCTGGAAAACCCCCTTACATAAATTTTTATCAGACCAATGCAACAACCAATCAGCAGGTCAAACAATGCACACTGTGTGTCAATTAAGTTTCCCAAGATCTTGGGAACCCAGGAGGATGCTGGAACATGATAAGTTTGAATTTAAATTTTATTAATGTTCTTAACAATATTTATTGTTAATTATTTTTAATTGAACTGTTTTTTAGCTTTATGTTTTAAAATTTTCTTTCAAATTAATTATTTTTATTTGTACAAATACGTAGTATTTTTAATCTATATTTTATGGTATTATGGCATTTAATATCTTAATATTAGTTATTATTAATTTTTGCATTGGATTATAGTAGTTTGAAACATTCATGTTTAAACAAGTCTTGTTCTCATCCGTGTAATTTGGATCAAGAATACAAATTAATACTTATAACTTACTTTATATGTTTCACAAAGACATTCAGAAAATTTGGCCAGTCTCATAGAGCTGTTTATCAACAAGACATGATCATAAATTCACCAGATGTTAAAACTCTAAAAGTATGGCATGTGTGTGGAATTCTCCTTATATTTTTCTCGATAAGAATAAGCAGTCTTGTGCATACATGTATCTGTATACATGATGTGAGATTGAAGGGTTTGGCTTCCGGGCACAAGGATCATCCCTATATTGTGTACATGTGAGTTGGCATGTTTAATGACATCCTTATCATTATATGAAACAAACAATAACTTCATCTTTTAAAACTTTTTGTTGTTTTTCAGTTTATCCTCCAGGGTCTTATCACAATTCTTCATCAGATGATCAAGTTCTTTCTGTGTGCCTTGTCCTAGAGGATGGTATCAGCCACATGCAGGGGCATCAGTGTGTAAACCATGTAGCAAAAACAATGTTTCAAACAAACTAAACCATACATCACGACCAGCAGTGAGCATTACCAACTGCCCTCCAGTAGACAACCCTACAGATGCAAGTAATTCCAAGATGGAGAAAGGTTACTTTATTAACTTTCTATGTAATTTGCCATACTGCTTTTGAAAGTACAGTGATTGGGCAGGAGCTGTAGGTACATTAGGGAGATCAAGTGACTGGGTAATTGTTACAAAAACAAGACCCTCATAACAGGGTTCAATTTCGGCTGCAGACTGTGCAATGCAGTGTAGATTATATTTTTTACCACACTTTCTTTCCAGATTAAGTGTATAGCTATACTTCTACAGTAACTGGTGAAATGGGATAGAGATATACTTACTTGGTCTTTTAAAATAAGAGAAGATTGGCAGTATTTTTAACTGGGACATTTCGATCCATAGTTATAACACGCCCCTAATCTCACTGCCCCCCAAAAGAAGTTTAGAATACTGTTAAATAACAGTAAAAATTTTTTCTGTTTCTTAAAACTTGCAAACAAATTAAGTTTCAGTTTTATTTCTGTGGGATATTGCATTTAAAGCTCCTCTAAGTACCCAAGTGAAGATGTTTCCATTTGATGGGGTGGTCTAAGTCTGGTTTATTTTGGTAGTCTTAAAGGGTCTTCCACCACTTACTGCCTACTCAATCTCATCCACAACTGGCTCTCTGAGGTTGATAATCCTGGTTGTTATTTGAGAGCCTGCTTCCTTAACTTTAACAAGGTGTTTGACAGCATTGAAAGGAGAAAGCCGATTTTATAATGAAAAGAATGAGATCAGTCACAACAGCTGCTTATGTTAAAATTGTATCACTAATTTGTCTACATGTGCATGTAGTTCTTTGAATTCATAACAATATTATTAATTTTAATTAGTGCAAGAATGAGCCAAATTCCTTTTAACATTCTTGTTTTCCTTCAGGTGAACAACAGTCTAGTCATATTACTTCTATGCAGATTGCTGGTATAGTCTGTGGTAGTCTTGTTGCTG